CAGTCCGACTTGTTTTTTACTAGCAAGCATGCAAGGGGATTTTCTATTTCTCAACTAGTATYATAGAAGCATTATCTTACCTCATCGTTGGTCAATGATTTAGGAAAAACTACGGTTACATCCAGCATTGGCCACGCCCTAGTAGGTGGTTTCTCCTCGAGTGTCGTTGTCTTCTTTGGTYSAACTTTAGTGGTCGACAATAACTGTGTATGTAGAYTATTAATGGCTCCAGCTAGTGCCTGGTATAATGTYGTCTTTCCTGATCCTGATGACCCGATAACGATGACATTTCCAGCGGACTTGATACTTTTATATAACTGCACTGTCTGATGAAACAAACAAACAAGAAACRCATTGTAGCTCTGACTTGAATGCATAGAACTAGTAAATACAGAGTGATTTTCGCTTGAAAGTAAAAGAAAAACGACGAAATTACATACAAATCACTAAATATCCAAGAAATACAAGTTAGTAACCATATCCAGCAATTAATTCAGTTTCAATTTCAAGTACAAGCAAATATTGAAATGTCTGTCATGTTTAACTGGAATAGTTTCTATCCTGTTAACAAATACCTTGGCCATTAACTCTGGTTTGACTTGAAAACCATGGGACACAAAGTGCTCTTTTATCTCGTCACATAGTTCAGGTTCGCCCTCGGAGATGACTGACATCAATACACTATGAATAAATACAGCATCTACTGTATTGGAGAAAATGTCTTTATCTGATGACCACAGTTTGTTACCAAAGAAGCAAAACAGTGCATGCACTAGGGAATTTTCTTCAGTCTGTCGACGCTCAAAGCTTTCCAGGAAAGGACTTCGGGCAGGAGCTGAAAGATAGAATGCATGTATAATTTATTCAATGTATTTTCGCCAATATCTTCTTTGAATTAAAAAAAAAGCTTCTGAAAAAAAAATACTATTGTCATGAAGCAGCGTCTGAAGATTCAATTTTCTGTAATCATACCTTCGTTGTCATTGATACTGTTCGTTTCATCGTTTGTTGCTTTTCTTTTAAGCTCTTTTCTGAGCTCATGACTTGCATAACGAACCACGGTAAGCATTGACCGAAGGGATAAATCGTTCTGACTTGAAATCTATGAAAAGAACGCAGTAAAAGCATTCATAAACTGAACAACTACAACGAAAACAGAATTGTGTTTGATCACTAGAAGTTTGCATGAAACCTGAAGGTTACATATGTAAGCAGCACAGCTTGAATAGCAAAACTACCTGATCACTGATCATCGTAAAGAAAGAATGCAACTTCTTTGCTAACAGTTGGCTTTCTGTAAATCCACAGCACGACAT